AAAGTTAATTTGCTGTTCAATTCATTTTTTTGACCAATCGCTGGTATTTTTTACATCAAGCCTAAAAATACGTGTTTTTCTTAACATAAAGCTATCGTTACAATTTTGCAATGTCATGACCATTGCTCACTTTTGTGGAGAAAAGATGAATTGATCATCTTCTGCCCTTATTTCTGAGGCTTATTACAAGACAAGTGCACCTTCCCATCCAATAAGAGCAGTGGTTTGAAAGACCTGAAGTCAGCCACAGGCCAGCACAAAAAAAATCTAATTCAGAGATGTCTACGCAGCAGCCATTTCCACCACGGCCATCAAACATTACCTAACTGTTTATGGCAAATTTAAGACGTAGCATGGGTGCAATGCTCCAGCTATAACAAGCCACAGAAAGCAAACAAAACAAATCATGGGCTGTGCAAGGGAATTTATTAGAAAAATTCCAGATAATGATACACAGATCTTTCCCCACACTAGACAGAAAGGAAGCAGTGTAATAATAATAATAAGGGTCCCTGCAAACCTGACTGGAGGGAAATTTTCCTCTCAACTCCAAATCTGGCAAAGATCTTAACCCTGAGTTTGATGGTGAGATGTCCCAGTGTGGTACCTGAAAAATCTGTACCCCTTGGAGCTACAACACATCCCATAACTCACCCCCACTTTAGCTGTAAACCAATCTTCAGCATATAATGAATGGGACCAACAGAGTTACCAGGCAGCAGATTTTTTTTTATAAATGACTGGATGTGCCCATTCAGGTTTTTTAAAGCTTCAGGAAGCAGTCACATTCACTGTGCAGGTATGTGCAGACCCTTCTCACCTATCTATTTACCATCTAGTTATTGCACAGCAACTTATGCTTGATACAGTAATGAGAAGCCCAGGTTAGAGATGCTCCGTGTACCACCACATCATTTGTTCAAGAGCAATGGTGGTCACACAAGAAGTAATTTTCCAAAGTCTGATTCTTTAAAATGTTTAATTAGCCACAAGAGGGAGCTACATACTCTCAGGAATGTAAGGAAGACCATTAACATCTCCTAATTAAGATGCTTGTATAATGGCTGCATAGTTCAAAGAAAGTGCATTTCCCAGTTCACACTAAGCTCAGTACAATGAAAAGTTTAATAAAAATCAGGCTTAATTTGCCATATGGTTTGGTGCTTCAACAAGAGCAAGGAAGAAAGGGGGATTGTCTGACATCTCCTCTGGCAAGACTGCTATTCTGAATACCATCATAAACACAGCACTGTTCACATGACAATTTCCTAGCTTACAATGTATTTACAGAATGATGCTTTCCCAATTTACTGGCTGAGAAAAAAAACAAGGCCAGATTATTTCTGCTGGAATGTTTACTTTGGAATGTCATTTTTACATTTCTAAAATATGTGACTTTCCCATAGTTACTACTACCTCAAAAGCCCCAACAGAAACACTTATTTCTATAATTTGTTCAGCGCTTTAGGAAGTTCAGTGGAGGTTCTAATACTGAAAATGTCTGCACCATATGACAGTGGCCATGTGTTGCAAATAAAGACTCTTCATTCTTAGAAAAGGGTCCAGTTAAGGTGCCCAGGCCCAAGCACCCGCCTACCGAGAACAGGGATAAGGCAAGCATACTTTTTCTGGCCTCCCAATCCCTGCTTAATTCATTTTCCCTTGTTCTGGCCTCACAATTCAGAAGGGCCTTGACATTGCATGGGCACATGGCATAGACTGAATAGATGCCAGCTGAGCATGCCATGACAATACAGACTCTTGCAGGCTATTTCCTCACTCAGGACCCAAACAACAGTATTAGATGTAGACTTAGACATTACTCACTACCCCACGCCTGATAACACTTGCCCATGTCAAAGGTACATCAGAGAATAAGTGTATTGAAAACTGAAATGATCCATGCTAGCCTTGTCAGATCCACATATCTAGCATCAAAGGCAAACCAGGTTTTTTGGTTTGCTTTTTTTTTTCCCCCCAGAAAGGCAGAGACTGTACAATTCTGCTCAACTAAAAGACACTTTCAAGAAAACAGAATGTTACTTAGCTGACAGGATCTGCTTTTTGCTGAACCATGGCCAAAACATATTTACCAAGTGCTATTTTTCAGCTGACATTATGTATCCCTTCCAGCTAAACTCATTTCAGCAATGCGATCCCCCTGTTGTTACGGGTTTATCGCAAAAGTAAATCAGAGTGTTCTCAAGAGAAGAAGAGAAATAGAAGTACAAAAACCACACTACCCCAGAGAGAGACTTTACAGTTCTGCAACCCCAGCAAATCTATCCTTAACAGCACCATCCTAGTTTACCAGTTTTATTCTTTAAGAAGTGTTTGCCTCTACCACTTCCATAATTTCTTCGTTCTTGACATCATCTGAATTAGAGGTGCATCATAGTAGTTTCAACTTTTTAACGAGAAAACAAATCCAACCCTCAGACATGAATATTTGGTTCAAACCCCAGTACTTTTCATTTCAGAGTGTTACACTGTCTCTCTCGTGTGCTTTTTATTTTTGTGGGGGTGTTTGGTTTTGGCATTTCCTCTCTCCCCTAGCTTCCTAGGGAGCAAATTTATCCATGGAATATTTAGAGGTGAGCTATTTTTTTCCTTTAATCACTATGCTCCATAAGAGCAAAACAATGGTTTAGGCCCATTGTTTAGATATGGGATAAGTATTTAAACAGACACTTCCTGTCCTGCTATACTGAAAACCACTCTTTACAGTCAGAGGCTCCATCGGCTCTGTACTGACTCAAATAATCTTTCAACCAAAACAAATGCAAAATACTCCTGTCATTATTCAGAAGCACTAACCAGCAGAAACTGCTTTGTTACTATAAGCTAAACACACAAGAACTGTGGTTAGAAAGCAATTCATATAATTTGAGTTTAATAATTTACTAAATCTATTCATTCTAGATACCTCTATCTTCATTAATTAAAAACTAGCTATAGTAGCATGGGAACCAAATTCTACTCCTTGTCAAAGGGAGACATTTTGGCCAAACATGACCTTTGCTTTCTCTCTTAGACTTTCTTCAGAATTCATTCAATATACAGGTGATAGCCAAGAACACCCAGGTGATTTATTCACATAAGTAATGGTAACAGAAAGTACAAAGCATCTCTAAGTGACTCTGTCCTTTGTTCATGATAATTAGGCATAAAACCAACACAGTATAGATGAGAGTATATATTTTAGGTTACATTTTTTCTTGTTCACAAACATATTAAGCTTTGCTGTTAGCTTCATTATAACTTCCTTTCATGACCACCAATCTTAAAAAATAATTATCAACCAAAACTCAATGCCCATTCAGTATGTTATCCAAAATACAAGCTAAGTTAATATAAATATGAATGATATTTCCAAAATTCAAGTAAAAAAACAACAGGAAA